ACGACGTCGCTTTGGTGAAGCGTTTTTGCGGCCCGCCGGCGAAGTGTACTTTTCATCCGACGGCGAGTTCGCCGGCGAGTCGTTTGCGACCGTCGCCGGCGAACAAATTGTTCACCAAAACGAGTCGGAAACGACGTCGTTAAGACGTCGTTTAGCAAATTGGGATGAGGATTAGGGATGGGTAGTGGGGGTTGAAATTCGATTTTTTCCGAATTTCGAACATTGCCCAACCATTCGATTATTCGATTCGAAATTGGGTGGTGCAAATTCGATTTAATTCGAATTTTTTCGAATTTTCAACAATTTTTTCCACTGCAATTTTAAAAGTTTGTTTGAGAGCATGATACCTCAAATCGAAAGAGATTCAATTGAACTTACATTAATGTGATTAATTATCCGTACTGCCGGTTTCACTAAAGCAATTTAAGTGAAAAATTATTATCTTTTCTGTCAGTTCCCATATTAAATTTAAATGAAAAAATCATTTTTCACTTAAATTGCTTTTTGAAACTGGCTTTTGCCTTCACAACAAAAAAAAAATAAATATCTTTTTCTCAAATATCATAAATATCTCAAAAATGCATCAGATAAAAATTTAAATATTTATCAAATATATCATGTATTTTTTATATCAATTAAAAGAAATAACAAATGTAGATGTATAGAAACTAAGTTCTTGCTTTACAAATACAAAGGAAATTCGCCCATATTTACATAGTTCTGTTATGTTTATACTTATACCACGAATAAAAACCTCTTACATTTAATGACAATGTATGATTTTGCTTTTTAAGGCGAGATCTTTAAGTAAACAAGGAACAAAATAATAGGTCTGTTCAGCAGTGACCATAAGATCATGTGCACATGGTATTGCATTTGCATATTTCGGCGCATTTGTAAATTCACAACGGTTACCATGGTGGCAAGTATATAATTTGCAAATGCAAATACAAAGCCAAGACCATTTTTACAATATCCCGAACAGTCCTATTATAGATTACACAGGTACATCATATGTATACATATATATAGCATTTATGTACTTTAATTTAGTAATTCTAAAATCACATTTTTTATTATATTTTTTATATACCCTTGAGGTCAGCTGTTTAAAATGTGTTAAGTGTTTGAAATGTGGGTTTATATGGTGCTGGTTATGTAATGTGCTAGACTTTTATAGAACAATTATAAACGTTTAACAACCAAAAGAAAAATAGCCAAAACTGGTCAAAATGTCATTTAACTTAAACAGCTGACCACAAGGTTGTATACATAGATAATTACATATTAAATTCGTGTTTCACACATTTCGCAAACATTATATTTTCAACCGTTTGCACAAGATTCAATAAAAAAAATATACGCTTCATTTAAATCATTTTTCCTTAAAACAATGTATCAATATTTATACTGAGAAAAATAAGAATACATATCCAAAATTCCTTAAAGTTTCCATCACTTTTGAAGAATTTTTATCGAAATAGAACACTGGAAATAACTAAGTTGTACCACTTACATAGTTCTAAAAAATCAACAATTGAATGAAAAAAAAATTTTGGATCTACAGTGACCATAAAAATTAGAGCACTTTAATATTTGGACATGTTTGACTTCATTTTCTTTTGTTGGTTCAATGTTCATAAATTGTTTATAAAAAATATATGTAGTTCATTCCTCAACAAATATCATATATGCAAAAAAAAATTTCAAACTTTTTCAATTTGTAGCTACTTCAAACTTGCATTTTATAATACCAAAATTGAAACTGCCAACCCAACTTTTTTTTTTAATTTGGAAATTTTGTTGAATTTTACATATATAATATTTTAAAATTAAGTCAAAACATGTCCAAATATTAAAGTGCTATTATTTTTACGGCCACTGTAAGAGTGGTTGTACAGACCAAGACCAAGTCTTGCGCTAATAGCCTCATATGTCCCACATTTCTTCCTCAATTTACCGCAAAAATACTAACATATTTAAATGTTCGGGTGAGAGACGGTTCCTCAACTGGGTTGCTATAAGTCCAGCATGTGAAAATAGTCGCTCACATGGGACTGACGTTGCCATAACTGACAAATGTTTTTGGGCAATTGGAAAAAGCAAAGGAAAATCATTTTTCAACGCCTGCCAAGTTGTTAAAGGGTTTTTGTTTAATTTTCGAGAAACAGCTGGCCTGATTAAATAAGCTCGCAGCTGGTCCGAATTTATTTCCGAAACGTTACTTCTATTGCATTGACTGTTGCTAATGTTTTGATCTAAATATGACCATATGCCTCCTTCGTCCGATGTTTGAAGCTCAGCGATACTTTCCACAGATTCATTACTTTGGGTTTGGCTGGTTATTAATAAGTTACCTATTCAAAGTTTAAAAAACAGAAATAGTTGTTTATGATAAATAGGTATTTGTCTAATGTACCAATAAAAGCAGCAGCCCGCGAACAGTAGATTGAGTTTTCGAAGGCAGCCTTCTTGTACCTTGGATCAAGTATTGTTGCCACACCGTAAATAACCACCGCCTCCAAATTTGCGTAACGTTGGACCTCGGTCAACAGGACGTCTTTTGCTATTTTGCCTATTGCTGTAGTCGGTTCGATGATCATTGTTGCCTGTAAAATATAGATTTAGATTTATTTACAGCCAAATTCATTATTAATCATTTTGTTCATCTATTGGTTAATGTCTACAACGTCTACTACGTCATCTTAAAAGTACAAAATGACTCTAGAAACAATTTACTAATTATTTCTTTAACCTTTTTTAATCCTGCAACCAATGGAATGCACTTGCTTATGTTTACATTTTTTTCACCGCAGAGTTCACTTGTAATTTCATGCAAAGGCTTAAGAATATCCGTTACTTCTTTAAGAGCGTCCACTTCTTCAGCAGTGACCATATTAGGCGTGCGGGCCCTCGTGTTCTTATCCATTTGTAGCTGAAGAATTACTTGTGCAATACATGTAGACAATGTCATAAAACGTTCCAGCATTTCAAAACAAGAGTTCCACCTTGTTCTCACTTCTTGAATCAGCTTTAAGTTTGACTGACCGTTGCTTTTTTGGTAATCTCTCAACTTTTTCGCAGCCACCTCGCTCGTTCGAAAAAACTTTACTATTTTCTTTACCTTTTTTAAAAGATCCTTTAGCGTGCCTCCTTCCGTTTCGTTTTCATCATCGTCGATAGCATCGTCATTGTTATTTTGAATGATCGCTTGACCAATATTATTGATAGTGTGACCAAAACAGGTTACGTGCTTCGACTCTCCAAATTCTTGTTTCACTGCGCCTTTGATATTGGCTCCTCCGTCAGTGACAAATGCTATTATCTGATCATCGCTGATGCCCCAGTTATTAACTATTTCACGAAGTTTTTCCTTAAGGTTTGCTATGTCTTTTTTAAAATCAGCTGGAAAAGCCCCAAGCTCCACACAAACCATATCGTTTTCTGTTAAAATTTATAAAAAAAAACAATGAAGCGTATTCTTGTTTTCGTACGAATCGAAAATCTTGAAATTTTCCTATCATTTACTATACAAAAATTTGAAATTTTCGATTCGTACGAAAACCAGAATAAGTCTCAATGTACGAGCTCTTAACAAGTAAAAAGGTAAAAGTGGAATTTTCAATAACGTGGATATGGTTGGAAGCATATTTGACATACCTTTCATCTGATATGTATATCATATACATAATACATACATACTTCGAGAAAAACTAAAAAGACCAAATTATGACCATTTTTTAATAAAAATGTATGTTTTTCTAAAAAAATACGTAATTAACTGTAATAAAAGATATCTTTATCAGAAAGAGTATAAAAATACCTTTAATTTGATATATAATTTTATTATTTTAGTTATTGAACATTTTTTATTACCAATCATATATCAAATT